TTCAACAGAAAAATAACCATTACTAATTGTTATTAAAATGTAATCAAAAAAATTGGAGTAAATAATTTAAATATTATTTACATAATACGGCAATACACACATTTATTTTCAGAAATTATTAATTGATACTTTACTTAGAAAAAATGTAGGTTTTTCACCCACACAGTTGCCACTCGTGGAATGTATTACTTATTTATTAATCTTCATAATGATGATAATTTACTTTCAAACAACTGTAACATGAATGGTTATCATTATCATAACGACAGTGGTAAAACAAAACAATTTAACCCGGTTAATCATTGTGAAGCCAGCAGATGAACTTGCGGCTGAGCTGCACTGATGATTGGCCTTTTTACCAGTGTCGCATAACGGGTCGCACGGGGGTTTCGAGAACGGTTCATTCAGAACCCATTGTGCAAAAGCAGGAAAACAAAGCTTGTAGTACAAGATTCTTTATGTCATTGATGAAGAGATTTGTTTTTATTGTGTTTTTATTATACGATTAACGTATAAAATCCTAAATCAGTGTTGTTGATAAAATATGTAATTACAATGATTATTTTTATTTTGACACCTGTGACCTACTAAGACAAAGTCTTTTTTTCGTAGGAAAAAATAGCAAATGCAGGAGCGCTGCCGGTCTCTATGCAAAAATAAAAATGAAATGAAAATTTCACACATTAAAGAGTCCGATACGTTTTTCCTGATTTGACATAGGAAAAGATAAACGAATCAAGAAAGCAAGGGCTACACTGATGTTTTATATGCGATCTTGACACTCGCGGGAGCAATGAAAAAATTTGATTAGTTTTAAGTAGAATTGACTTTAAAAATAAACAGCTGGTTTGTAGGAGTCAAAAAGGGATGCGAACAGAACGACAAAACCGACAAACCACAGTGCGGGGGAGAGAGAGAGAGTGTGTGTGTGAGAGAGAGGGTGATGACGTGAAAAGATTATCTGAATGCAGAAGCCTGATTTCTGGAAAAAATCAAACAATTTATATCTTCGATTTTGGAGAGAACAAAAATTACTGAAAACAACAATTTAACAACAAAAACAGAGGAAAAATGTGATTATAACCTGTGTTTGCTAAACAAATGCGTCTTTAAGGACTTTAAAACATGCTTAAAACGAATCCAAATAGTTTTTTAAAACTATTTTTTTGTATGCTTTACTAATAGCATTTTTTAAAATTTTAATTTTTAAATTTTCTTGAGATACATCCACAGCAAAAGCAGAAAACCATATTAACAAAATTATTTAAATTATTTTTCTCAGTTCCTAGGGCCTAGGCAGTTTGGCAAGAAACGCTCAGACACATGTTTAATATGTTTTGACCTAGTATCTCACAAAATGTTTCATTCAAATCTTTCGGGATTATAATATTTTTTATTATATTATCAAACTAAATTACAATACAACGAAAATACTTATGTGCAGGATAATAAATTTAGTTTATAAATGTCCAACGTGACCACAAAATTTTTAATTGATTGATACAAACCACAGATGAAGATTATGGAATGAACTGTTGTACGAATGAATTTATAAATGATTGGATAAACCATATAGTGGAGAATTTCTTTTTTTATCGCATTATAAATTCAAGAGAATTTTGTTTCGAAGTAAGAAAAACAACGGGTTTTTTTTTAACCTTCATATAGACTGTTTTTTCCTGTTCATTTATAATTTTCAAAGTTCAAAATATAATAACCGTGGAAAATCGTAAAAACCAGGATCTGTGAATGTACAGTATGATGTTAATGGATAGTTTATTATGTCGTTATTAGTGCAGGTCCAGTTTATTGCATTATTGAAAGCAATAACAAAACTTAGCATTGAGTAGAACTTACAATATTTCACATTTGTTTATTTTAGTTTTATATGGAAATTTAACTTTTTAAAACTTTGTTATTTATTTTTTTAAATTGAAAGTTTTTCCTACCTACTTATGTCGTGCTTTAAAGTAGTAACGCCGCTCATAAGCTGACGATAAAATATTTATGAAATATATAAAACTGTAATTTTTCTTTTTTTGTTTTTACACAAAAGATGGCTGTTACCCCTATGTTTAAATAAAGATCCTTATTTCAACATTAAACGCTTATAATCAGGTTGAAGGAGTTACAAGTACGTCTCTCGTCGTGAATTGTGATTAATTAATCTAAGAAAAATAATTTTAAGTCAGCAATTAATATGTACGTCAAACATTATTTAGGGACATGTTTAAAATAGGGGGTAAATCCTAATCTATTATATTATTTATACATTCATTTCCATGTTTAATTTTACATTTTTATTTCAAATTTCTCAAACCAATCTAGTTCGCTCCCTTGGTTGAAACTTGGTAACACTTATATTTAAATTTAAATTGTGTTTTGTTTCATTTAGATGATCCTTAAATTCAGAAAATTTGCTCTATTTAGCCAAGTGTTCTTTAAGTTAGCGTTTTAATCTCGTTTTAATTTCTCTGTCTTAAAAACCTGTAATAGCCATCTTTTGCATAAAAGTGAATCGACAAACTCATCCCGCCTTCATTATTTCTAATAATTTTATTTTTGGCCAAAACACCTTTACAAACAGCTTTCGGTTTTCAAACGATTTTCTTGAAATGGAAGAACAATGGTTGGATTTTATGTCATCATATATGAATTTTTTAAGTCAAAAGTGAAATTGTATTTCTTGCTCGTATTTTAACGTACTTTGCAGCTTTGTCGGTAGTTCACAAAATAGGCATTTTCAGCTTATAGCTAGTTGGGAGATTCTTTCGTGTTTTCGGAGAGTTAGATAGATAAAAAAAATTCTGGCAAGGAACAAAGTTGATAATCGTATTCAGCACCTCGAATATAAATTTTTAGGAAAATCAAAATAATAGTTTTCACCACATTTTTTCCCTTCCAAATGTCTCGGTTTTTTTGGAAGCCACACAAAAAACTTTAACTTTTAACCGCATAAATAAATGAAAGGAGATGTAACATAAAACGTATGAGGAGTTTTTCCGTCAATTTCATCATCATTTTTCTGACTTATAACATCAAATTAAAACATTTACATAGTCTGAAAACAAAAAAGTCCAGTTTTCAAACGGTTTGTAATCCCATGGAGTCTGTAAAAATCCTGATGAGTTAGGAATATTTTAACTGGAAAATTAAACATAGAAATAAACATTGCCGCTGGCTAATACTTTACTGGATGGGCCTTTTTGACTACGTAATTTTGTCTGCACCAAATCTCATCAAATACAATCCTGATTATTATTATACAAATTTATTAAACAGTAATTTTTCTTTGTTCAAAATAGATTCACAATCACATTTCAGTTTCCAAATGATTCTTGAAATGGTAGATTGTTTACCGATGGTTAGATTTTATGCTCATCCAAACAATAACAAATAGCCCAAAGGTGTTAGTAAAAAGTTGATTCACGGTGGTTTCGTTAGATAACAACCGTCATCAAATAGATGGTGTAGAAAAAGTCCAGGGTACGTGCAAGATCGTTCTTCCGCATCTTCTTCCTCTTCCAAAAGCAACAAATCGACCCGATTGAACATTTCCAAAGGAAAGAATTTGTCCCGATGTTTTGCCGGAGCCGTATTCAGATCGTATGCAGCTGGGTTATTACGGGAAGGAGGTCGGACGTCCCGATTCGAAAGGTCGCAGCTCAACTCTCTCTTCTTTCACTTCACCCTGACCCTGAACCGCTCCGGTTCTCCGTATTTTTAATACATGAATATTTGCAACGTTGGAATACGGAACATTGTTGTTGTGAAAATAAACATTGAGCTGTAACGCAAGTTTCCGTTTTTTTGAACGGGTAGTAAAAATAAATTTACTAATATGCTAAGGCTTCGCTATGGTTCACTTTTGCTATGGCAGATATAACAAACTTTTAATCACGAGATCAAATAAATTTTTTTCTGACATGTGATATTCGATGGGGAGTAGATCAGAATAAAAAAGTACAAGCTGGATTTCATACCTAGCTTCTTTATTTTTTTCCCCAGTATGTAATATTCTATGATGTCGTCAAGGAATCTGAACGAACTTATCCTGCTCACCTGAGCCGGCTGCTTGTTTAAAAAATAGTGATGCATTTGGTCAATTTCTTGGTAGTCGTTGTTTCCTACTTCGGTAACTAAAAAATCGAGAAACCATAACCACAGATCACTATTATGTTTTTTCAGGTTAGATTCTACATCGGCATCCGGTCAGCTTATCGACATCTAACCACAGCGGCGTCAATTGTCATACATGATCCATTTTTTTTGTTGATATGTAAGCAGGTAAATAAAAACTCTTGACGTTCATTCGATTCATGCGGAACTAACTTGTCGAGCTGTTTAATTTTTGCGATTAATGTAAACTGCTTGAAATGCGCCGCCAGTCCTCTGTCGGTACGAACTTTCCTCAAGATGTTCGTCATCGATTGATGTCGGCGAAGTTGTTTTTCATAGGTGGTATCCTCTAAAGTAATCTTTCCAAACCATGGATAGTTCTTTCGTTAAAACTCCCTTCATCACAAACGTGATTGAAAATGAGTACCTACCTTAAGGTTTTGGCGCTGAGAATTTTAATATTACTAATTTTTATCATTGATTTTCCTGGGATTCCATGAGCTTCTTCTTGGTAGACCAAAGGTAATGTTTCTCTCGGTTTGCACAATTTAAATGTTAACAAGACAATCTGTAGACATTTTATGACTCTCGTTAAATCCCACTGGCTAATCAAAAACAACGGTTGACACACCTCGTCGATTTATTCCTTCGAGGTTTATAGAATAGTTGCGCCATTTATATCCACGGGGTCAATTAACGGTTCGAACAGTAAAATGTCTTTTTCGCCTTTGGGCTTCCAAAGACGCAGTCAATGATCCATGTCCTATTTCCGCGACAAAACGGATTCATTTTGCGATCAAAACCAATTAAGTGATAAAGAAATTGGTTGTTTTTTTAATATAAAAGGATGACGAACTCCCTTAATGGCGAATTTATCTTAATTGACTGCAAATTTTATAAGTTGGAATCTTTCCGTTGGAAAGTTAAACTGCCGAAGGATGCCGTCCAAACTGTTGTCGTTCTCCATCCTGTTGCTCGCTAATTTAGGTAAATGCATCACTGCCTACATTTTTTACATGATTTTTACCTACATATAAGTTTGAAAAATATTACTCTGTTCAGTATAGTAAACAGTATTTAATGATTATTTTCAAAACTTTCAAACTGGTTTTAAATTAAATAAATATAAAACAATTATTGAACTGTTTTTCAAAAGATATATCTTTGTTTTTGGCTTTTGAAGAAGAATCGATGTAAATTCTAAAATCAATTATCATTTAACAACTCACAAACTTAAATTTAAGTTGAAACTTACTTTTTGAAAGTTGTTTTTATACTGAAATCATGCCGTTAATTGTTATTGATTGGTTGTAACATGTAAAAATATCATAATAATATTGCTATTAATTTTTTAATGACATATGCCCCTTCAAAAATGGGATAATTATTGAAATATTATTTGAATATATGTACCTATAGAGAGTTGTCCTTTCCAGAAGGCCCGCTAAATGTTTCTTGAACAGATAACAATAAATATCGCAAAACTCAAAAGTACGTACTTAATACTAATTTTTACTGTTTTTGTTTTTTTTTAATATTTGTTTCCAGGATACTTCAAAGCCAGTACAACTTTGAAAATTTATATGAGACAATATAATATTTTTACCTGTTTTAAAGGTTTTTACACTGAAAACGATGGCACAATCAGATTTTAAAATGGTCAAATGGTTATTTTGGTCACAAGGTTATGGCACAGAATGTAAAAAGAAATATCTTAATTTCGGTTTCTTATTATTTTCAATACGCTATGATGGCTACTAAATACTACGCATTTTCAATAAGTTTAGTTATTCAACAAAATGATGGGTTCTTGATGGGCCCAAAATACGTTCTCATTTTAAAATTTCAAAGGTGTACTGGTTTTGAAATAGCCTGGAAACAAATATTTTAGCAAAGCAGTAAAAATTTAAACTGGACTAAAAATGATTGAATACGAACATTTTTAAATTGCTTCTTCGTTAAACATCTAGCAAAAGTGCTAGTTGGACAAAAGAAACAAATGAATAAATTAAATAAATATGTAGTAACAACAATAAAGAATTAAATAAAGAGCAATTTCAAAATCAGCAATCATAATTTACCTAAAAAGACTAATTGACAGGCAGTTAGTTACACCTAAGTAGAGGGCGTGGTACCAACTTTTTGGTTTTTTCGATAACGTTATTTGTTCAAGAGGAATTCGACCGGGCGAGTGACACCCTGTATATGGTAATATACTTTGAAATATCACATACAAATTTGAATTTTAACTTTTATAACAGTGTTCTGGCGTATTTGAAATTTTTGTGGCCTAGTCATTTCCGATCATTTTGATCGCTGTTTTCATCTGACCAACGCATTTCAGCTTTTCGTCATATTCTGGAATGGGTTTGAATTATTTAGTTCGCCTTACTTAACAATTTATTTAATCAAAAAATCAAATACAAACCTAGCCCGGAATATCAGGGCAAACCGAAACAGTTTTGGGATAAAAATATTGTTCGACAAGCAAATAACGGTAATCAAATAATTCAAACCTACCACTGGAAAAAGTGAAAAGTCAAAACGCTTCTGACAGACGAAAACAGTGAGTATAAACAGACAAGACTGACAGCATATAATCTGGATATCGTGTTTTGTTTGCGAGAGAGAGAGAGAGAGAGAGAGAGAGATTAAATAGAGCAATAGACAGAATGAATGAATGCCGTTTTACTTTGAAAATCTTCCAAATTTAGAACGCGCGAGAGAGTGCATATCATAATATAAATATTTGTTAAAATCACCTGATATATACATATGTAACGATTTTGATATAGAAAGTAACTAAATAAATTAATAAGAAGGTCAAGAAGGCATGGGAAAATCTACGTAAGTAAACAAATCTGTATTGGCATGCAAGTTTTGTTACAGCTGGAAGATCACTTAGGGGCGGAGAAAGAATCAAATAGCAAAATAATATAGATAATTGGACAAAATATGATAAATATACATATGATTTATATATTTACATACAGGGTGTCCTTTGTATATAGCCCTGCTGAATTTCTCTTAAGCCGCGCTTATACAAATACGCTATCACTATAACAACAAATACGTGTTTAATATTTTTTGTCTAGTTTCAATTTTTTATGTTCTAATGCCAAAACGACATTTGTGAAAGAAAATTTAGACTTAAATCATAATCAGAATACCGAGATCCCTGGACGAGATGAGAGGATACGGCTTAAAAATGTAAGTCCGGAGTACAACTCGAATTATTATTATTATTATTTTTTTTTTTTTAACAAAACCTCTTTCATCATTTCGGAGAGATTATTCCGATTTTCGCGAGTAAAATCATTCAATTAATTAAGGTTTTTAGTTGAGATAAAAAAGTCAGTGTCACGAGCGGGATTCGAACCCACGACCTTCGGCTTGATAAGCCGCTACTCTACCACTTCATCTATCGTGACTTCGATCCCCTCGGGCACCAACTTCTCATCTTAACCCCACCTTTTGAATTTTCCCTCCTTTTTGCCATTTTTCAAATGTCGTGGAATCTATTTGATTCTCTGCGACAATTGAAATGGCCACGGAAGTTGGTGCCCTAGGGGATCGAAGTCACGTTAGCTCAAGTGGAGGTGTATCAAGCCGAAGGTCGTGGGTTCGAATCCCGCTAGTGACACTGACTTTTTTATCTCAACTAAAAAGCTTAATTAATTGAATGATATTAATTGGTCAAGCGGACCACGAAAACTAGGGAATACAGTAAAATATTCAGCTCATCGTCGAAATTACACAACCGTCTCTTGGTGATGGAACAGTAACTGATCCGTATCTCCTCATATTGCGAGCAACACGAATAAACATTATGCTCAAACAAAGCAACACGACGCGCAATACCACCACTATCACTAAAGCAGTCGTATATATCAATTCGCTGTTGATCGGAAAAATGTGCTCTTCGGTTAATTTTTAATGGAACACTGAATGTAAGGAATAGGTACAATCGAAAATTTATTTACATCCAGGAAGATTTGTTCTCATAATGCGTGTTTGACAAACAATGACAATAATAAAATTTTTTTTTTTACAATTTTACCTGTTGTGCTACCTTAAAAATGTGTATAGTGTATATAATATACGTCTTTCTTATAGCTATGATTAAAATTTCTTCCCCTTTTTTTAGGTGCTATTGTCAAATTTATTTACTTCTAGGAATTAAGCTTTGCTCTCATAATGCGAATCTGATAAACAATGACAGAATGTAAACAATAAAGGCAATTAATGTTTACTTTAGTAAAGAAGCACATTATTAGAATTAACAACGAAACAAACAAAATGCAATGCACGAAATGCGGACTAACGTTTTGTCATTTTTTGACCAATTTAAAATCTGATTACACCATTCTTTTAGGCGTCAAAAATGGTTTAAAATGATGTGTCAGGATGTATTTGAAATTTTGAAGTTGAACTGAGCCTGAGAGACCCTGTGTTTCTAAAAAAAGGTAAAAATTGTAAAATAGACTTAAAAACACTTGTTTTTATAGCATCATTGGTTCAAGAGAAATTCACCTGGTCCATCTAAAAAGGACACCTTCTATAGTTACATAGAACTTCTGAAAGAGAGCGTCGGTGAAAAAGAGAGAGAGAGATAGATAGATGAGAGAGAGAGAGAGAGAGAGAGAGAGAGAGAGAGAGAGAGAGAGAAACTGATATATCGATAGATCGGTACAATAACGATTAAGTTTGGAATTAATTAAGTAGGTTTGGAAAAACAGAGCCAGACTGGAGTGCTAAATTTAGAGTTTTGGAGAGAAAAATAGAAAAATATATTAGTTTGCATAAAAGAGGGGAGAGAGAGAGTGAGAGTGAGAGTGAGTGAGAGAGAGAGAGAGAGAGAGAGAGAGACAGACAGACAGACAGACAGACAGAGAGAGACAGACAGAGAGTGATAGACGAAGCTGATTTTCACGGAGGTTTGCAACACGGGTAACTGGTGTTTTTCAACGAAAAAAAAAAAGATTTGGAAGTACGGGACCTTAATGTAATGAGTCGATGTGTGGCTTAATGCATTAACCGTTGTGGTTACCATCGCGGCGCCTCTGCGTACAAATATGTATTTTATGGATCCATAGATTGAGATGAGACATAATTACAATTATCACATTTAAGTTTTAGTTTATGTTAAGGTCTACATTAGTTTATCATTATAACGAAGTCTTAAGTTTCAAGTGAAATGAACAAATGGAAATTAAATGTGATTAGTTTCACAATATGCTACCAAGCGTCCGTCTGTGCTAGTTGGAATTATCCAATAACAGAATGCTCATTAAGCAGATATGTTCTAATACAAAAGTAATGTGCCTATGCGCAAAAAAAAAATTTAAACATTATATTTAAAAGTATGCACTAGATTTTTTTAATGAATCAATTTCGTTTTAACCATAGCCATGACTCTAGTGTCCGAGCAGTAATGTATATCATTGATATTAGATATTTAACATAGTCATTTTTTACAGGTCTTCTTAATGGGGAGTACACGGTTTCGGAAAACGTTGTTGAATACGTTTTACAATCAAGTCAATTGAAATCCGGAACAGAAGACGTCAAGAACAATACCTCTTTTCCTCAAAGGCTCGTTTTCAAGTGGACCGGACATGCAGTTGGTTATAGCAACCCTTCTACCCTCGTACCGTCGTACGTCGCGTCCGTCAGCTACGGCCCGCACAGCTCTTCTCTTATTTACACCTGCTTCTTGACGACTTTGCTGCCGGTTTATGCTCAAAATCAAACAGGTTTCGTCCATGGAGCCAACGGTTACAGTTGCAAGATCACTAAGGGAAAACCAGGCTCACTAACGGAACCAGTCGACACCACGCAAAAACCTGCAGTGAGCAATACGACCGTACCAGAAACGCAGCCGACTTCCCCCGGGCCATTCCCAGGTTCTGCAGGAAGCGAAAACGTCTCTAATGAAAACAGTGTGCCAAATCCCATGGTTCAACAGAGAGGTTCGATAAAAACACGTACCGCGCGTTACTTTTAGTCTTTGTATTGTCATTATCAGTCGGAGTTTCTTCCAGATTCTTTAAAAATATTCATATTTTTTAAGTTATACACATACTATCATTCAAAAAATAATAAAGTGAGTTATAAAAGTAATTGTACTATTATATTACCGCATGAATTTAGGTATAACTGAATACCGCATTATTTGATTCATTCGAACCTTAATAAAATAAAAACTAATATTTAGATTATTTGATCAAATAATTTTAAAAAAATCCCTCAATATTTTTCTAAAATTTTTATTTCTGACAAACTTTTTTAATTTTTACTAGTTTTTAAAAAGTTGACCAGAAGTGAATGTAATTTTATATTAAAAAAATCATTACTTATTATTTAATCTTTAATTAAATAAACTTTAAAATGAGTTTTTTCCATACATTTGGCCTTCCAAATTAAATATTTTAAAAGGATAAATTAAAGCTTTGGATGGCAATAGGATAGATTAGTTTGTGGGTGAATGTTAGAAGACAGAGCCTTATAGCATTCATAACGGATATAGCTAATCTAAGATCAAAAGTTTAAATGTTAGGGCGTGAAATGACCTTAGCTGTTAAAACGCCTTTAAAAATTAATAATTACAATTATAATTACATAAACATTATATCCATGGAAGTGTGAAAGAAAGTTAGATAATTTTGATTTATTTGATTTGCAAAAGATAGCAGCACCGCTCAAGAGTTCTACGATGTGTGAAGACCAAACATAACTACAAACTGTCATAGGTTTTATATTATCTAAAAGCGAGTTAGTGAAAAAAAGAGCGAAAAAGAGATAGATAGATAGGTAGAGAAAGAGAGAGAGAGAAAGAGAGAGAGATGATGTAGCTGGATAGATAGAGCTAGATGAATACAATATTGATGTCTTGGCTAGATCAGGTCAGGAGGCAAATTTTGTCCTATTATATTTGGTGTTCCACTTACAATTTCATAAACCCTTTGAATTTCATCCAATGTGAAGAACACCTATGTGAAGGAAAAAATGAGAAAAATAAGAATCACAAAAACACTTCAAAGGTTTTACTTTATATTTACGGTTCTAATTTATTTAAGTAGATCAAGTTCATGTCAATATGTAGATTTAGGTTACAAAAACACATAAAAATGCTTATAGATTTGTGCAGTCGTTTCATTTTCGAGAAGACACCCAGAAATGATTTTTGTTCGAAGAACTCTAACCGTATGACGATTTTTGTGATTGAAAATGAAATAATTGAAGGTGAAAAATTAAAAAAAAAACATATTTGTTGGATTTTTCCAAATTTGTGTTCGGCGATTTTTGTGAGTGCGAAAAGCAATATTAAATTTGATTTTAATGTGTTTTTTTATTAATTTAAAAAGGTTAATTCTTTTTCTTTTCAGGCATGCCTATAATTGGCTAGTTATTACCAATTTAAAACATAATTAGTTCAATCTGTTCTACATAAAAATGAGTCCTAGAAAATATCCATATTTTTTTTTAACTACTTTGGAAGGATGACTCGACCGTCAGGATATCGATAGTAAGTTCGAGATCAGGTATGCGGTCATCAAAGACAAATAAGCTTGGCATAAGCTACAAAACTTATTTTTTTTAATGACCGCATCCCTGATCTGGAACTTACTATTTAAACTACTTTATTACATCGCTCACTTCAGACGTGTAAACGCTATTGTGACTTGTAACACTTCTTTTCCCTTCCAATAATGTGTTCTTTGTGTGGGCTGCAGTATTTAGAAATTAATCGGAAATTTAAAATGCTTAAATTTTTCTATGTTTATCCGTCGCCTATTCGAGAAGAGACACAGAAATGATTTTTGTTCGAAGAACTCTAACCCATTTGACTCTTTTAACGATGATTCTTTAATTCATTTTTTAAAAGGTGAAATCAACCTTTTTCAAATCTTTGGCGACTACATTGTAGAAATAATATTTCAACATCTATAAACATTGATAGTCTCCGTTAGTAATGATTTTCATATAAAAACGACAACTGTTTCCCAATTGGTCCGATTTTATTTGTTAATAAAACACATTTTTAGTAGGTGGTATTTATTTAGAAATCGTGAGATGCGGTCTGGTGTGATGTAGGTTTCAGAAAAACATTTTCTTTATCGTGCCAACGTTTCGATCTTTATTGAGATCATCTTCAGGGCTCAAAGTGTTTGTCTTCTGTGTAACTGTGCCATTCTTGCGTGTCGTGTGCACTCTCTCACACGGGTCATCCTTCCAAAGTAGTTTAAAAAAAAATTATGGATATTTTCTAGCACTCATTTTTATGTAGAACAGATTGAACCAATTATGTTTTAAAGGATCTCAGGAGTGGATAGGTAACAACCTTAAATCGTATATTATTTCAAAACAATAGTATTTTTGGAATTTCAAACTGCTTTATAATTACTGTGATAATATTCTGGGTTCATTTAAAAACCCTGCATACTATCTGGATGGCACATTTATTTTTATTATCAATTCAATATACGTAATCATTTAATTGATAAGGCTTATTATCACAGGAAGATTGTTTGGACTCCCTTTCTTTCAGCATACTGGAATTGATGTGTAATAATATTTTTTTTTAAATATACTGACAAAAGGAAATTTGAAATATTACTAATTACAAAATCATTTATTTCATCCATGAACATAACATATTTTACAATTCTATTTTCACATTTACATTAAAAAAATGTTTCTGTCAGAAAAATCGATCAGCAGAATTGACTTAGTTCCGCTGATTTGAAATTTACGTCGCAGCTTATTTCTTTCCCCAGCTACTACTTCCTGAAGAACTGGATGCTTGGCTGTGGGACCAACTTCCTCCTCCTCCTCCGCCCACAGGGTATCCTCCACCTTCCTCGTATCTATCACCTCCACAACCGCTTAAACAGCCACCGCGGCCACCCTTGTGACCGTAGCCGCCACCACCCCTGTAAATTAATACGGTCAATCAATACATATTACATAACAAATGCCTTTTTTTAGAGATATATTTACCATCCTTTTTGTATCGAGACGGGTACCACGACAACCTTGGATGGTACAACATATCCGCCTCCATACCCACCACCGCCGTATGCACCGCTGCTGCACTTATGGCAATGATGCCTTTTGGTTCTTGTAACATCTTCACCCTGCGAAAATCCATATTAATGATTGAATTGTATAAATAAATGTGTTTATTTATAAAAATTGAATTCCAAAAATGTATGCATAGCTTACAACCATTTTTAATGCTTGGGTTGACTCAATTTGGATGAGTGGCCCAGGGAGAAAAAAATACGCTTATTTTACATTATTTATTTATTTTACTGATGATGTACGCCATGATAATATGGAGGTACCTTTCCAATAAAAACAAAACAAAAAAGTTATAACCTAAATCAAAATTGCCACCAACAGTCAAACATTTTCGGTGTTCTATAATCAACTTTTAAACAAATGAAATAGGGTAAAGGTGAAAGTCTACATGAAATAATTATAAAATTAAGTAAATTTGTCTATAATTTACAAATCGTACGTGATAAAATCATCATGAATATTACCCAAAAAAGACCAAAGCTTATCTCTTCTCTACAAATACCATTTAAAAAATCGTTATAGATTGTAAAATAAGTCCCTAGCGTTTTTGAATTATTCGATTTCATTCTTTCTGTGGTTTGAAGCAATGTGAATTTAGTCATTACTGTTCACACACTCTAAAAGAAATAAGGTAAGTAGTTTTTAATCGTCAGTTCCTTTCGAAATATTTAATTTTTACAAGCTGTTTTGCAAATTTAAAATGGAGGAAAAACTAGTGCATATTCTTCACTTAATGTGGTTGTTTTTTTGTCCATTTCAACTATATTTAAATCTTGGAATGGACATTCTAACAAAACTCAGCAGTTTTTTACTACTGCAAAGGGAACACCGCAGCTCAGCCTGATAGTAAAATTTATGATGTGTACAACGGATGCTTTAAGAGAAAGGTGTCCATGAGTGGTTTGCAATGATCATAAGCGCAAATTTTTAATTGGAAAAGGCAAAGCGCTCTGGTCGTCCTTCAACCATATTTAAGGTTTTGTCACAAGTAGCCCACACTCTATACTACGATAGAAGAGATCACAGGGACGTTTAACATTTTTCATACAAGTGTTTCAACAAATCTAAGAGCAGTTGAATATGTTTGTCGGAGTGAGCTCTTAACTGAGAATGATTTACTGGAACGCATCTCCATTTGTGATTCTCTTGTAAAATGCAAACGACCCATTTTTAAAAAGATTGTCAAGTGGAGGTGAAAAGTGGGTCTTTTCCAACAACGTCCAGAGTGAAACAGGGATAACGCAGAACCACCGTCGGTTGCTCCAACACCTCAGAAACTGGACTATACCCCACTTACATAATATTGTGAATTTTGTGAGATTGGAATGATTATTATTAACTTCTTCCACCCAACGTACCGTTAATTTTAGTGCACACGATTTAAGTGATTAAAGTCAGCCATCGACCAAAAACAACCAGCAATGGTAATCGCAACAGATTGTTTTGCTTGCCCCCACGATTCTTTGAAGACTCGTCAAAAATTGTTGCAGCTTGGCTACGATGTGTTTCCCCTTTCAGATTTTCACTAACCCCTGGGGGTCTGCATACACCTATTAAATGGGAAATCTCGATTTCAATTAACATATCGAGGTGTTCATCGCTCAAAATCCTGAGAAGCTATGGGAGGAAAGGAATCAGAATTACATGGGTGATGGCAACATGTAGTACAATAGAACAAAATCGTTCAATATCTTTGATTAAATTTATTTAGAAATACCTGAAATTTTCATTGAATTTACCTCCAAAAACGCTACCGACTTTTTTAACATTTGTTGATTTATACCTTTTACCTAAAAAGAGTTGACTTGTTCATTTATTTACTAAAATGACTTGTCATATAGAAGAATTAATTATGTTATTGCTTGGTCAATAATCAATACCTTTCTAGTTGATGTGATGGATTTTCTAGAACTCTATATCATCATGTCTTAACATTTTGGAGAGCGAACTTCGGTCTAAAAAGCTTTTACAATTATGTTATTTTTGCCAATTGTTACAGAGGTTTCGATTCGGGGGTTTAGGGGATGAGTAGTCTCATTTTTTGTTAAGAAAGCAATGTTAAAAACACCATTCAGACGAGCAAAGCAGTTTGTAAAAGTTGTTGAAAATGCATTCCAGATCACTGTTACAAATAATCCATACAAGTATTTAGTAGTCATAATTGACCGAATAGTTATTTTAATTAATTATACTTTTCATCTCAACCAAGACCTTGGATTAAAAGTATAATTAATTACAAATAATGTAAGAGAAATTATTTGTAGCAACTTTTTAGGTGATTGATTGTAAAATAGTGAGTACTTAATGTAAAAATTAAGATTAATTAAGGTTTTTAGTTGAGATAAAAAAGCCAATGGCACGAGCGGGATTCGAACCCACGATCTTCGGCTAGATACGCCGCTGCTCTACCACTTGAGCTATCGTGACCTCGATCCACTCGGACACTAACTTCCCATCCCAACCCCACCTTTTGAATTTTCCCTCCGTTTTTGCCATTTTTTAATTCTTGCCATTCTTAATTTACCTGGTTTAACGGTGCTAACAGGCCCTGCGCCAGTGGGCCATTTACTGGGGCATCTCTCGCAGTTGCCAAATCATCTTTTGGCGGTACGAAATTCGGGTCTGTCAGAGCCCTATTCAGAGGATCTGTTTGAAAAAAAAGAATTAAATGCAATAAAAAATTATAAATCCGAAGTTTAATAAATAACTTCTAACTACTAAATAACTACTACAACTAACAAAAATATAATCGCAGGTAGAAATTTCAAAGGAAGATTGATCATTCTCATGGAATACTTTGAGACATTTCCTATGTAGATCTTTCTGTCATGACAGGTGGAGTCCAAGACTCCGACGATATTTTAAATTAGAAAAACATATAAAACTGATAGGGTATTAAAAAGGATAACAGTTGTTAACTCATTAATGCAAGTGTCGCTAGGTCACCTAGCACCTTAGCAACCTTTGACTTCTAAAATCATTGTTGATTAATTGCTTGCAATTTAAAAAAAGATATTTCCGTTTTCAATATACTATTACTAACTTACAAGCATGACTCAAATGGCCTTGCTAACAACGGTTTAGAGATCCGGTTTAGTAGTTCTCATCCCGTGATTCTTCGTGCTTTGGATTCGCTAAATATGTATTTGAAGGCCAGAATTATAAGGATTTTCATAAATGCTTATTTAGGCAGTGTAATGATTATAAACAGATCAAACTATAAACGGTAATGTCACGATGACACTCGGTTTTGTAGGTGACACCCTTGAACTAATTCTACTTTCACAACTTATTTATTATGTTATTTCATAATTCCACTACATCGTATATGACAAATACCAATATGAAAGCGCTATTTCATAACTGCTCTTTAACCTGTATGACAAATGTGCACACACAATATCATAACAGCCCTGTATCGCATGTAACATCACACAATATGTAATAAAATATGGTAAAATTTATAACACCCGGGATTTATGTTTTAATAAAATTCACAAATTTCTGATCTCGTTTCATTTGGTTAACATTAAAATAAGTATTTTGAAATTAATTTAATGATAAAAATACCTATATTTGAAATAAACAACAAAATATGAGTGTTGAATTTTTTGCCTTTGAGTATATATGAAAACTGTATTTCATAATCGCATGATATCTACATGAAAAATGCATAAAATGAGTAATGAATCTTGATCAACTTTAGAAAAACCGATTGTCGTTAAATATATGAAAATTTTATTTCATAATAGCACTGTTAAAGGTAGGCAAACTTTATTTTTCTATGTTTAAATATAAATTATTTCACAAATATTTAAACTTTTACTCCTTAAGATTGAACTACTACCATGATTTATGCGGGAGCACTCTATGGAAATAGAATATTTATAAGTATTTGCAGAACTTAGTCTTGTGACAAAAAATCTTTTACATATATATATGCTTAACTAAAAAGATTAAGTTTCTTATTTTTCCCACAAATTAATATTATTTTTAAATTGTTTTATTATAATAAAAAGATATTGTTAATTTATAACGTCTGCTATCCAATACCAGAAGTTATAGTTGTGGAAAGCAGGCTATAATGGAAGAATAACAAATTATTATTATAATTATGTGCTATTTTTTTATTGTTAGATTTTGAATCCAAAAAGCTGTAATGTCTTGTATTTTCTATTTAAAAAATAGCGAAATACAGATTTATTATTATTTCATAATTGCACTGTATCTTATCCATATGATACGTATGAATACATAAAATATTTAATGAAAGAAACTTGCTAAAATTTAAAAGACAAACCAATTGTTGTCAAAAACATGACATTTTATTTCATCATCATGATTATGTAAAATATGTAATAAAATGTGTTCCAGTTTAGTCTGTGTTTTATATTACAAGTTCATAAAATGTGTAAACGTTTATAACAACAATTGCTGTTAAAGGTAGGCAAACTTTATTTTATAATTGCACTGTATCGCATATGATTACATAAAACGTGTAAAAATTTATAACGACGGATTGTTCTCAAAGTTATGCAAAATTTATTCCACAATTGCAATGTATCAAAAACGTAAAATATGTATTACAATTAATTAAGGTTTTTAGTTGAGATAAAAAAGTCAATGGCGCTAGCGGGATTCGAACCCACGATCTTGGGCTAGATACGCCGCTGCTCTACCACTTGAGCTATCGTGACCTCGATCCACCCGGACACCAACTTCTCATCTCAACCTCACCTTTTTGAATTTTCCCTCCTTGAGATGAAAAGTTGGTGTCCGGGTGGATTGAGGTCACGATAGCTCAAGTGATAGAGCAGCTGCGTATCTAGCCGAAGATCGTGGGTTCGAATCCCACTCGTGCCATTGATTTTTTTATCTTAACTAAAAACCTTAATTAATTGTAATATATTAATTGGTCAAGCGGACCACGAAATTAGTGAATTTAATGAGTAAAATTTTTATTAAAACGTGCTAAAATTTATAATAACCGGTTTTTCTTAAAGAGTAAAACTTTATTTTATAATTGCACTGGATCATATGTCAAAAATGCGTAAAATATGTAATAAAACGCGAACAAATCTAAAACAATTGATTGTTGTTAACTTTAGGAAACTTTATTCCATAGACATACTGTATCATAATGACTAATAAATTTAAATGACAAACCGTGTTAAAATTTATAACTACCGATAAGTGTTATATGTATGCAAATTAAAATAAGCTTTGAGTGAATGATTTTACCACCATAATTATTGATAATCGGCAGATTTATTAAATATTCAATGAAATTTCAAGATGAATTTGTTAACCAGACAATGAATTTTCTGAATACAATGAAAATAATTATTGCAAGCTAGAGTTTTCAATCTTAAACAATCTTAACCTTTCTTGTTTGTTTTTTTAAATTGAAACGACAATTAGTAAAATTGGTTCTATTATGATATTATGATAGGAATTTTATGAATTGGCTGATAGACAACTATCTTAATTTTAATGGGTTTACTTATCAAGGGATCTTTTGTCAAATAAATGATCCGTCATAATTTGGCGAACAATGAATCAATATGTTGAATGTGTTTTGTCTGTTTACCTGGTGGGCTTGTCGGAAGGGCGAGGCCCGAAGCTAGCAGGCCCAAACACGGTAGTAACACCAACGGTAGTAACATAGCAACTGTACGGCATCCTGCAGGACGGGGACGGTATATATCCGACTTCCCCCCCTGCACCCTTTTCGTCGGAGACTACTTTGATTCAAAGTTCCATCCGCTGATTAAATGCCAATTAAAATCTGTTGATCAGGGAATCCCCCTCCAGACAAATGATCTGTTAGACTTGAAGCAAGGTCGATCATTGAGCCAGCTCGTTCGCTGAACACTCACTCCCACCTCCGTTTTCTGTTGCTTGACCGCGCTAGGTTTCTAAGTCACGACATCCTCCAAGGACACGAATAAAGTGTTCTGTATATCTACGATGCAAATTCGACAAACAGGATGCAACTGATACGCATATGACGAATAAAAAAACAAGTCTTCAGCCACACAAGAAGGGAGATGGAGATGAGTATGAACCCTAATATAATCTCAAGGAAACCAACAAAAATATCAATATTTTCTTCATAAAAATGAACAAAACAGACTATTAAATAACCACTTTTTTTTCATTTCTCAAAATGTGTTTTTAACAGAATTATACTCAGAATTGTAAATATTTCAGTTTTTTTTGTGGTTTTTAACTTAGACTTAGCTTTTTCGTTTGGTTGTATTTCCTTAAGAAATTATCATTTTTGTAAATATTACTTTTTATTAAACATCTTAAATAAAGTAAAATGGAAGTGTTTTTCCTTGTATACTTTCTTCATGTTTTTAAAAAGGTAGCTACAGTTTTTAGGACGAACTCCTGGTGCTTTTCTGTTTTTACCTTTTTTTCTACTCAACGAATTTTAATTTTAAAATAAGCATTTCTTTTTCAGGAGAGTCTGTATTTTCTGTTTAAAATGTCAAATTTTAAAATTGTTTGAGGTTGTTCAGTCGTTCAAAGAAAGGTCGAAAAATTACATTTGTGGACCATTTTCTCGAACAGCGATTCGGTCTATTAAAATCATTTGTTCTTTGTTTGATTTTTCCTAACATACTAGGAATTTGTATCCAGGGGTTGTAAAACATATAAATTGATTAATTTTTGGCAATAAACTGAAATTGTTACATAAATTTACACCTTCTTTTATGTACAAAAAATATTTTAAATTCCCGATGTTTTTTTCGTTTGCTTTGTAAGACTGCATATTGCTCTATAGAATTTTTAAAAAATCGTGTCCATATGATGAAGAATTTTGGAGAAAAGTGTACGGAAAACTGATTTTTAAGGAAAATCGATCCTGGTCAAGCTAGATTTTTCCGATGGGATTACCCAAAATGTGCCTTGTTAGGCTTCACTTTTTTCGATACGATTTCAAACAAAATGTTCGTCTATTGAAATTTGTATATAGTGATACTTACGGTATGAGTCAAGGTTTGAATTAAATCCTATTACAAAATGAAAAAAATTACGTTTTTCATTTGTACCCAAATTAAAATATCACCTAGACAAATATTCTTCTTCAAACTTAATTATATCAATTTGTTTTCATCTTTAACATTGTTTAACCCTGATGATGTTCTTAAAACAGGTCGAAAGTTTGGCAGATAACAATTGAATTTGTTTTTTCGAGACCATACCGAGATCCAGATTATTCCTGACATAATTCTTTGTTAGAGTTTCACTGTAGTGTATTTTTAAAAGAGGTGAATTAAAATTTATTTGAAAGACTACAACAAATTTGTACCACTCTCACTCTTGTTAAAACATTCAAATAAAACTTGTTCTCCGGTTCGACAATAGTTTAAACTTGTTAACATAACAGAGGCTTTATAGCCATGAAACTACCACACCTAACATGAAAGGATGCTATAAATTAGGTACTCATGAATACGTATTAGTTAATGTTATGCGGCATGCTAAGTGACGTTCAATAAATGTAAACATGATGACAACAAAAGTAATTAGAAAAAATATATAGGTTGTATGAAATTTATACATTATTATTAATGAATCATATTTATTCACTCTAAAAGGTTATTAAATTAATCATATATTTGATGACAACTTATATGTCAATTGAAAGAAAAAGCTTTCATATTCAATATCAAAACTATTATAGGTATTATTTTATTATTGTAACTATATTTTATTTTTCACAAGTTTATCATAGTTTTATAAAGTTATAATGACGACTAATTTTTTTTTTCGAATGCAGGGCCGCTGGATTCGAACCCGGGACCTTTGCCTTACAGTGATGAGCGCCGTGTCAAAGACTAAACCTTGCGGCCACCGACGCCCCTTAACTAATTTATTAAAATTAGTTCAAACCTAAGAAGGATCGCGGCACGGTTCGAAACCGTTGTCGTACAACTTTATAAAGCAATGATATGCTTGGTAAGATTGAAATATAGTTGTACATAATATATTCCCCTTACGTATAATCTATTGAAACAACAAATAAATATAATTGCACATGTGTAGTAACTAGGTATGACCACACACTATGTAAATAAGTATGTTTCGTGATAAATATATAATTTTCCCGGTCGCATAGTCAATTATTCTTTACGAAAAAGACCCACGTGGAGAAAAATGACACACAGAATTCAAAAGTCTAAATATACGACAATTAAGAAAGCTTCTAATTTCCTTTCCGGTTCCGTGGGTTTCACAGGACATTTATATATCTTTCAGGAAAATCCCTGAGCACAAAACAGTGTAAATGAATAATAAGATAAAAAATAGTCACGCTCCGCCGGCCACATTATAAAATAAATACTAACTTTGATGAGATCCTTTATTTGCGAAGTAATAGTCACATTGCTAGAAGTGGTAAACACATGGGCTATAATTGTCAATAATAGCGCAAGTAACATCGTTGTTGACGGGAGGGCGAATATTACAAGTATTTATTCCAATAATTTTTATTGTAAAAATATTTCAACGTGAAATAGACCGAGTTCGTAAAAAAAAAGATGCCACGATCAATCTTTTTACTCTTTTACTAGACAATCTCTCAAGAGCATTTTGTACTGTTTTAAAGGATAATAATGGGGGCTACCGACAATGGAATCGCATCGGCCTCCGATGCACGGTGAGGTCCGGTAGGATACTCGATTCCGCCATATGCTCTCTGACATCCACATTAACACTTTTTACGTACACACATAAATTATATTACATATTTTATATGTATAACCTTACATACATTATATAAAATCTGTAAAATCTTTTTAAAAAGATTGAACAATGCACTCACTCCGCCATTTATCATTTCTAATATATACAATATTTCCCCTTACTGATTGTACAAAGGAAAGGTATAGAAGGAAACACCGACGTTTCCATTAAAAGTTTTCAAGTTGACTCAGTCTTTACAGACTTCTGCAAAGCATTTGTTAGTGTTGATCATTCTGTTTTGATTGCTAAATTAAAATGTGGAATACATAGCAATTTGTTAAAATGGCTACACTTCTATATAACCGGTAGAACACAGGTTGTAAAACGGAAATCATTTAAATCAAATCCAATTTCAGTTACATCTCGAGTTCCACAGGGATCAAATTTAGGCCCTATATTATTTCTAATCTTTTTAAAAGAGCTTCAGTCCTTTCTCTCTTCTCCACCAGTTCTATTAAATGCTGATGATCTTAAAATTTTCCTTTATATAAAATCAACACAAGACACTCTTCTCTTGCAGTAATCTATTGATAAATTTAGTTTATAATACAATTAATTAAGGTTTTTAGTCGAGATAAAAAAGTCAATGGCACGAGCGGGATTCGAACCCACGATCTTCGGCTAGATACGCCGCTGCTCTACCACTTGAGCTATCGTGACCTCGATCCGCTCGGACATTAGCTTCCTATCTCAACCGCACCTTTTGAATTTTCACTCCTAAACTAAAGACTAAAAACCTTATTTAATTGTAAAATATTAATTGGTCAAGCGGACCACGAAATTAGTGAATTTAGTTTATAATGTCAAATTAGCTACTTAAATTCAAATGTAGCTAAATGCTCAGTAATTTCCTTTAATCGTTCATCCAACATCGTTCTATACAGAGTGGTCGAGCATAAACCCCAAGAAATGGGGTATGGTACATTTTAAATAGAGTAAAATGTAACCAACCTAACTGTTCTATCTCAATCCCCTCGGAAGTTATGAATTTTTCCTTTTTTTTTTTTTTCAAAAAATCCCGACCTTAAGCCATAAATTCGCATTTTTTCAAGATCTCGATCATCTGTTACAATTCTCAACAAAAAATTTAATTTTGCATTAAATTTCCTATAAGAAGGACCTATTTTTAATCTCATCAAACGCGAATGTATGTTTATTAATTCAACCCAAAATTAAGTATTTTAAAAAAGGAGAAATTTTTATCAATTTCGAAAGATAACATTTTTCAATATACATTTTTGTAGGGGTCCCAATCAACATTGCAAGATTGTCTTCTTTTGGTAGTTTTGGTTCAAAACTCCTTTTTCGCCGGAAGTGACAAGTATAAAAAGGTTTCCATTTGAATCATAGTATTTCTGGAAGATGTAAAATGTCAAGCAAGTTCATCAATAAACTGAATTCTCTGTCTTAGAGTTGGTAAGGTCTAGGAGCTACATCTGCTCGTACACAGCCTTATATTCTTAGTAGATTTTTATGTATTTTTTCATTTTTAGAAAGCAAGCAATTTTAAAGAAGTGTAATAAAAGAATATTTAAATATATATATATGTAAACCGGAGATATACGGATTTTTGAAAATAGGACTTTTCCCCTTAAAACTTGCTATGTTCCGTTTAATTTTTTTAAAATTTTGTATTTCTTATTAAATCCAGAGAACAAAAAAAAATTATGATTCTAAGTATATGACAAAAATATATGTAAAGTTAAAGAAATAATAGTTCAGACAAACACGTTTTGTGGTTTGGTTGTTACCTCTGTGGATAGTAATAATTAAGTTTTTGTAAATATTTTATTTGATTGTTCCTCGAAAAATTACCATACATGCATCAACAGATTAACAAGCTGAACGCGTGGCTCGCACTGTTGGTTAGAAGAAAACGAAATTGCTCCTGAATAAATCATTCATGCATGTAATCACGGTAGTACGTGGTGCGGAGTGAAAAAAATTAATGATAGTCCACCAGATACTGAATTCCTGCATCTTCCTCTTATTGCCGGTTCATTGACTGCTCAACACGGAGAATTTTAAACAAATTTGCAACCAAAATATACAAAATCTATGAAGATATTTATTGTATCGAAACTAAAT